ATTTATTTATGGCACCTAAATACTTTTTATGATGTTGATTAAATTAATTCAAAAAACTTTGACAAGGAAATAAACGAAAATGACAGGAAAACGTCACGCCTGTTTGATATTCTGAACTTTAAATTGAAGTCATTTTAATATTTTAGATATTTTACATGCCTCTATAAGCAAATGACATGTCACATTAATATTTGCATAAATCAATAATTTTGAATAAATGACGTAAAGAATACTTAGTGGAATAAAAAACAGTTCTGTCATCATATTTATGTGCAGCACTTACCTGCCAAGACCTTTTAGATTAGAAACCTCATTTAGTTTTCTTGCTGCATCAAACACAGACGTTTCATCATCATGGTCCCTAAAATGATATGCTTCGATTATGCATATATTCTTTAAAAAAAGTATATGCACACACACATTTATATATATATATATATATATATATATATATAATGAGTTACATATTTTTAAAAAAAATGAAATATTAAATTAAAATTCTTTAGTAATAATAAATTTTTTATGTACATACATTCTAAGATATTTTATTAATATTTTTAGAAATTTTTTTACATTTAAGGAATAATTTTCATAAATAATTATTTATTACTTAGTGCTGCAAACTGTATATAAGAGGAGAGCCTTAAAAGCATCTGGTGCCACCATCTCAACTCCAAATAAAGGGGAAAGTTCTAAACTTGGAGATTTGCCCAATGGTAGAGTTGTTATCTTTATTTTTCAAAATTAATAATTTTTATTTCAGATTTTAATATATTTTTGAATTGACAAATGTATCTCTATCTTATAAATGTAGCTTTTAAATTATGGTATATTCCATCTGTTATCTCTTTTTACAGCGTTTTCTGTTTTGATATCTTCTGGTATAATTTTAACTACACATAAATATTGCTGAAAAATAAAGTAATATATGGAATTTAAAGTAAATTTATAAAAATTTTAAATCAAAATTTTTGAACCATTATAATTTATCATTATTATCACAGGAAACTATTGAATATCTCTTTTCCATTTTTTCCCCTTCAAATTGGGCCATATGTCATTTTGTGATATATTTCTTTGAATTTCTTCTCCTTAGTTTTAATACTTTTCTACATGAGTATATAATAATGTTTTATACCATATTCAGGAATTAATTTATTCCTTGGTAATTAAATTTGTAGCAATAATTTTTTTATTGCTAATTTTTATGTAGTTTAACATATTGGTGGGTATTTTATCATTTATATTATTTATATGTTACTTATTGAATATCAATTAGATTTTTCATTGTGTTTTGACATTACTTTTAAAGTTTCTGAGTACAGCTAACCATCTTAAGCTGGTAAAGTTGATTAAAAGCTAACTGAAAGCAAATAAACTTTAAAATCTTTGTAATACAACAAATAAATCTATATCAATTTTGTAATTTTCAAATAAAAAATATTGTTATTAGAATATTAAATATTTCGATGTTGAAATTACTAATTTCCTGTTTATTTCTAGTTAAGTTTTTGGTTGTTACTGCGAATTATAGTGATTTGGATGTTTTACATCATCTAATATACATGACCGATGCAGTTGTAAGTCATATTAATTTTTTTCTTCTTAACAGTATGTCTTTTTTTTTTTCAGAATAAAATTTCTTGTCAATATAATTTATATTTATTATTCATCAATTTTGACATGTTCTTAAGAACTAACTTATTATTTATGTAAAAATAATGATGCTAATTAATTAATAATTGATATTTTTATCATAATTTATAATCTTTTTAACAAGATAATTTTGAGAATTTTTTGTGAAATTCATTTATCTAGTTGTCAATGTTATCACAAGTATTCAAATAATTTATTGATGTTACGATTTTTTGTTGTTTATTTATTTATATTTTTCATTCTTAGAAAGCCAAAGTTAGAAAAAATATACTTGATTTTTCTGGTTTTGGATTTAATGAAGATTCTCCATTGTACAAAGACAGAATAATGTTTCTAAATACGTAAGTGACTATAATATTTGTTAAATGATGATTTTGGAATATTTTGCAGCATGCTTTAAGGATTTATCATGTAATATACATTTATACGATGTCACTCAGAAATTAGTGAGATAGACTTAGGATTTTAAAGTTATATTTATAAAATCTTAGGAGCGTTCACATTTGTGTCCGGCATCAACACACTTCAGCAGGTGTGTTTTCCAAAAAATACCTCAAGCCATTATTAACTTAAAATCAATTAGAAAAATGCATTTATTGCTCCATCAATTTTTTCTTAGGAATAAAAACAATGTCCACATAAAAAATTTTTTATGTTTAAAAATTATTAAAAGTCATGCATAACTAGGCCAAGTGAATAAACAGATGTCCTACCACTTTCATTTGTATTTGTTCTAAAAACTGAACTGATAATCTTGCTGAAAGAGAAGATGCATTGTCATAGTTCACAGTGGAGCATGATTTCTGACATTCTCTGCTTAAAGAATTTCTGCATTATATTTATTAGTGTGCCAATCAAATCAGGCTGTCTTGTGTACTTCAAAGCTTGATGACTTCAACAAGTCCTGTATTTCTGAAAAAAATTGTATTCATTACTTTTTCATGGCACATTGTCTTTTTTCCGGTGTTTGCATGGGACCATCTTCAAAGTCCCATATTTAGCTTTTTTAGGTATTTAAATGTTAAAAAAAGGACATGTATCTTTCATCACCAGTTATGATTTTCGAAATAATGTTGCTGTCCCCATTTTTATGTTATTTGAAAGTTTTCTTTATTAATTCTGCTCCTACTTTTTATTGTGTTTAGTTAAATTCTGAGAAATCCAATGACAAACTATATTTTTTATTTGTGAATCTCCATTAATAATTGTAGCTATGGTTGTGGAGTTCTATATCATTTTGCAGGTACAGTACAGTTTTGTTGGTACATTTATTTTGCAGATTCAAATTCCCCTAGATTACAGCTGGCAATGGCCATCTGTGAAATATTCAGTAGCGTAAGCTAGATCTTCATTTCAGACGCATTCTTCTTGTTTTAATTTCACTTAAAAATGATCAAAAATCCTAGCACTATATTGTTTTTGCTTCTATTTTCATTTTTCTGTCTATAATTCGTTTTATGCTAAAATACTAACAATTAATCAATTAAAATTGTTTGTTAGATTTTTATGGTTAATGTTTTTGAACGGAATCGTTTAATTCTATTTCTTGCTTGCTTGTATCCAGAGTTCTCCCTAAGGAAAAAAAAAAAAAACGGCAGGGCACTTCCTCCCTGAAAAGGATACTTTGAGTTTTAAATGGGCACTCACTTAACACCGTAAAAATTTATCAAAATGTATAATATTATGTAATAACTGATTTTATAAACCAGTGTTCTTATTAATGGCAATAATTAAATTTTTCAAAAATACATGTTTGTAATTATTTTTAAATATACTTATTTAGTTTTTTCTATGTGCTAATATTGTTTTCTTATTTCATTTTCAGTTTAGGATATGATATATCCAAACGAATTGCATTTCTTTTAGGCTTATGTCCTTATAAAACAAACATTGATAAGCAAGATTTGAATGAACTAATTCTGTATTTTCTTATGTCACCTTGTAAAACTAAACGTAAGTTATTTCTGTTAATTATATTTTGTAACATGAATTTTTATTTTTTTTAAAATTTTAATTATATTTTGAAGTTTAATCTAATTATAAGTTTAATCTAGCTACATATAAATATTACGAAGTTGTTATTAAGATTTTATCTTTAAAAAAGCAAAGATATTTCTTTTTTTAAATTTTATATATCTTTAAATCAATGTATGAAGAAGAAAATTTATTTAATAAAATCTACTTGCATGATATTTTAATTCAGTAGATGAATAACTATTTCTTAATCTGTTTATTGTAATTAAATTAATAAATGTTTTGTTTTTGCATTTTCAGAAGTTCCTATTACACATTTACCTCAAACTTTCTTCAGTAAAAATATGCCAGAAGAATTAGTAAGTTTAATTATTATAATGATTGCAAAAGTTTTGAATATAAGTAATGCGGTTCTTATACTCCAGTAATATAAAATCTGTTAATAACATTTAAATATTTATGATTCATTTCATAAACATTTTATTAACTTCAGTAAACTATCTGTAAATAATTTAAAACACCATCACTATAGAATTACCTTAAGACTTTTTTTTAATGATTGCATCAAAAAATAGTACATAGTAAAGAGCCTGTACAGTGCGCAAATAAATACCATACTGAATAACTTTTGATCTAATGATCAGATCTTCATGTACTAGGACTCAATCTTAATGGTTCGAGAGTGTGACCTTAAATATGTGAATTAGTTAATGCAAACGATTTACAAATTCAGACACGAAGATATGCTTACCTTTTTTGATGTATTTGGATTTATGTTCCGCAAAATGTAGGGTAGTTAGGAAGGCTGCTCCAAACTTAGGCCCCTTAATGTTAATTTCGCTTTTTCCGTATTTCACCTTATCTCAGTAATTTTTTAAGTGAATCGAAAAATTTCTGCACCCAATTATAAAATTCGTTTATCCTAAGAAAACTCCATGCAAAAAGTAATTTTTAATAATTTATTATTTTTTTATTAATAATATTTTACTTTATATTTTATATCCGTCGTTGAACAACCGACCCAATTTTGGGTTTAGGGCTACTAATGTTCAACTCCATTAGTAGCCCTAACATTAGAAACGACACTGAAATCCCGTGTCATACACTACCTCTTTTGAAACCTAAAAACCCTTTGGAAATAACAAACGTTGAAATAAACTTGGATCTTGTGAAAACTGTCCATGGTAAAAAAGATGTTGCTCCAATTATTCTAAAAAATCTTGCCCTGGAGACAATGGCGATTAGATACCCAGTGGACGATTGGCTACATGTTTTTACCGATGGTTCTCAATTTGACTGCCATTTTAATGTAGGGGCTGGTGTCTTTTCGGAACTTTTCTCTTTCTACGTACCAGCAGGATACATTGGCACCGCCTTTGATGGAGAAGTAGTGACCTTGAGTACGGCCTTACAGCAGCTACTGGCCCTCCAACACAAATTTGAAAATGCAGTTCTCTTCTCGGACTCACAAGCGGCCATACAATCAATTAGCTCACATGAACGTCCCTTGACACCTGAGATTTCCCGATGTCACGACCTCTTGAGGTCTTTATTTTAGAGGGGAAAGCGAATAGTCCTCCAGTGGGTGCCTGCCCGTTGTGGTATTTGGGGCAATGAGCAGGCAGATTTACTTGCCAAGAAAGGTGCCAATTTGCTACAACAACCAAATACGGCTACTTCCTTAAAAATTTATGTAAAACCAACTCATTGCAAGACCTTCAGACTCGCACAGCTTTGAAAAGTTAAAGAAATGTAAGCTCTTCTTTAATTCCTGACAAGCCAAGACGTGATGCAGTTGCGGCCTTCCGCTTATATACAGGCCACAATTGTCTTTCTGCTCACTTATCCGCATAGGCCTTTCCACCACGCCTTTTCGTGCACTTTGTTAAACCGGAGAGAAATTGGGCATGGACCACCTGCTTCTATGTGTGGCCCTTCATGGACACACTGAGTCCTCAAGATATTGGGAAGCAAGAGAACTTTTAAGGCAATGACTTCGGTCTTCTTTCTTTGTTATCCACATTTGTATTTGTTATTTATTTCATCTTTGTATCTGTACCTTTTGCCTTGCCATTAGAAATAAAAAAAAAATGTTCAACTCCATAGCCTTGTAATTTTGAACCAATCCAGAAGACAAGGAAACTCCTGGATCAGTACCCCCAGAGGTTTTGATTTGTTATGGGAACGTGGAACAACTCGATAGATTTAACGTGCATCAGTCACCATTTACTACACGAGGAGTCTTCGGCCGGCGAGGATTGAACCCACGAACTCTTGGACATGGGACCAGTGCCCTACCAACCAGGGCACTGGGCCCATGTCCAAGAGTTCGTAATAGTAGTAAAAATTTTGAATTGTGAAATAGGAGTACGCAGCCTTTTTGAGTGAAGGGCCACTTGCACTACAGGTTAACTAACAAAGGGCCGTACGCATATTATTTAGTCATGTTGGCAGCACATATCATAATTTTTTATCTTAAAATTGGTGTTCCAAACACCACTAAATAGTTAATCAGTAAACTTAGTAACATATTTTCAGAAAATTAAAAACTTTAAATTATTAGAATTGATTCGAAAATAAAAATTATATTTTTTGCCTTTTTATCAATAATTGATTTATCAAATATCTATATAGTGTAATGAAGACAAAAAGGATTAAAAATGAGAGAAAAATGAAGAGAATTAATAAGTTTTATTAACTCTCATAATTTTTTTTACTTATTATTTCTCTCATTTTTTTCTCTCGTTTTTTTAAATCCTTTTTGTCTTCATTGAGCTAGGTTTTAGTAATTATATTTATTGCAGCTTTAGAGCTTAATATTATCTACTATTAACTTACTTTTGTTTTCATTTTGTTTTCATTTTTAATTTGATTTTCTAATTTTGTGTGTTTAGGGTGTTATTCTTTGAGCCTATTTTTATGGATTTCTACAGTAATAATAATAATTTAGCGTAATAATAATAATTATGGATTAATTATCAATAATATTAACTTTAATAATAGTAATTTTTAAAAAAAATTAAATAAATTGTGCTTAGAAGCTCTCCCGGGCTGTACATCAACTGTCGGCGAGTAGTATGTGGTCTGTGGGCCACAGGTTGTGCACCCCTAAATGTAAAGTATACAAATGTTTACATTATTTTGAAGATAGTAATTTTTTGAGGTAAAATACAAAATTTGAGTACCTGAGAAACAAATTTCAAGAAAGTCATATGTTTAAAATTCCTCCCCCCACACTGTACGTAGAATAAATTAAGGTGTTTAAATACAGTTTCTCATTTTATTAACATTTATATAGTTTGTGCCTTAAGTAAATTTTTATATTTTACTACCACTGATGACAAAACAGTTTATTAGTGTTAGTTTGAAAAAATTTCCATAAATATTGGTCAGTTCAATACTTTATATGAAAAAATTAAAAAGAAAGATAAAGCTATTTCTCAGTGATTAGAGATTAAAGTATTTATCAACTATAAGCTAAATATTCTTTTTTTGTGTGTGTGCCTAATACTTAAGGAAAATGGTTTTAAGTTTCAGCATAGCTGCTTCGGGGGCATAATTTTTAATTTTTTTTATTTTATTACTATACATTGGGAAGGTGGTTCCAAAGGGAGGACCTGACTGACTCTGCATGTTGTACCAATTATGTTTTACCGACATTGTTATTTGTAGATGGGAGTAGAATTTATACAATTTAAAATAGTTGTGAAAAGTTAGTATTAATAAATAAAAGTGTTACTTTTTGAAGGAAACAGATGATTTATATAATGCCGCATGATTGTACATTTTTAGGACTTGTGTTTTAATTGAAAATTGTGATAAAAATATCACTCCTGTGGTAACCACTGAAATTAAAATGTCAACATAACATATCTGTACATTTCAAAAATTGCTGGAAAGTACACGTTCACTCTAACATCTTTTTATTTTTAAGAATATATCAATTACAATTTTTCTTGATTTACCTATAAATCAAGTTACATTGTTTTTTCATCTAAAAAAAATGTTTTATTAACTGCCTAAACTTTTTATGTGTTAAAAATAGCTTAATTTACCTTGTGATTTATTTTATAACAAACTATGTTTTTGCCTTTTAGTGTTTGCTGATGCAAAAGCATAGTGAGCTAGATATATCTCCCATTCCTGTGGATTCTAATGTTGAAGAAAGTCAAATTAATTTGTCGAAACCATCATCATCATCAATAGCAGGGTCACCATTAGGTGCTTCTTCAAGTACTAGCTATATTAAACCCCATCCTGCAGGCCCAAAGGCAAAGAAAAGTTTATTAACATCAAAACTGAAAAAGACAACCGTTTCTCCTTCATCATCAAGTACACCTTTCCAAAATGCTGCAGTGCTGCTGAAACCAAACACATCAAAATCAATGGATACCGCCTTACAGAAAGCAATTTTGAAAACTAGTTCACTAATACCTGAACCTGTTTCTTCACCACAAGAGTTCCTCGTTCAACAACTGACACCTGATGGCAGGCAAAAAACATATAAATTAATAAAACTTCCGATGAATCACCCTCTTACGACAGCCTTAAAACCTCAAATTCCAATTACCACTCCTTCTCCGGTTATTCAGTTGCCTCCTATTCAGACTACCGCTTCTTCTATTCTACAGAAACCATCAAATTCTACTCCAAACATACCAACACCGCCAGTCCAGGTTCCTACCTCTGGTTCCATTATACAGACACCACCAGTTCAGTTTACTTCTCAAACTTCCTTACTTTCAACACCACCAGTTTCTTTGAGTTCTACTGCTGTTAATACACCTGGAATGGTGATACCACCTGGAATCATCATTTTTAAAGACAATAAAAATAATCCACCCTTAGCTATTACAAGTGTGCCAAATAATAACTTGCAAACTGTTCCAATCATTTTTGGCCAACAGAGTCCAATTATCTTGCCTCAAAATGTTATAACTGCTCCACCTGAAGCTAGCACAAAATTAAACGTTCCTTCTCCAATAAATGCACTAACAAAAGTCATTCTCCCACAAAATGTTCCATCTTCTCCTAAAAAGGCATCAACATTGTCAGAAAAAGAAGGTACCATATTGAGTTAAAATAATACATTATTTATAATGTTTAATTTTTATTGACGGAATTATTCAAAATCGTATCTTGTTCATTTACAATAGGAGATTCATTGTATAATGCAATTAGATGTTACTAAAGTAATGTAAAGAATTAATTTAATTAGAATTTTATGCCATGCATATCAACATCAAAGAATTGGTGTGGTCCTATTAAAATGAATTCAAATTTTGTACCGATTAGTGTAAAAAATTAAACCATTTTAAGACACTTTCTAGTTGATTTTTAAGAAAAAAATTCTAGCTTCTATTTTTTTCTGGTTTAACAAGCCAACGGATTTAATAAGTCGATTGGTTGGGTCCTAATGCCTTCATTTTAAGCGAGTTTGATGGTGTTAAAATCATCAGTTCAGTAATCAATGATTCAATTTCAATCACTGTCAATAAATAGTAAAGAAAAATTTTCATTTTTGGAAATGGTATATGAAAATGGGCATTTTTGGAAACTAAAAGTTAATAGTGTTTATTTTTTTCGAAAATGAGCTATGATCAAATTTAATTTTTTTAAATGTATACATTTTAATGAACCACGATTGCTCAGGTCTCAAGGCACTCAGCTGTCATTGTGAATAATCGATTAGCACTAGCTTGTCTGAAAAGTAAAGGTGGTCAGTGCACTGTGCTGACCTCATTGTCGTCATGTAATTGGTCATGAAATTTTTTTATTTACGAAATAAATAAATTCAGTTTGTTCTTTAAAAAATTTAAAAATACAATTCTAAAAACGATATATTTTAATTCCACCAAACCCATATGTTTTAATTGAAAAAAAATTGTTCTTAAAAATTTAAATTGAATAATTAAAACATACTAAATAGTTATCCACCGTTTTAGAACAGAAATCTAGAGTAGAAATGTTCCAACTGTGATTTGAACCTTGAACCTCTCCGGCAGAAGGCTTACAGCCCGTCCGTTGCACTGTGAATACACATTAACTGGAAAGTTTTGCTCAGTTTCATTTTATTAGGAATTTTAAAAGATGTGCACATCCCTTAATAATGTAGAAGCTCAATAGCACCAAATTTATTTAGTGCTAACAAATAAAATATGTTTTGAAAAAAAAACTACTATGGCATCTTTAAAATTGAAAAATTTGTGCACATGTTCTATCACATAATTGATGAACATTCAGACTTATAGCTTGTGTAACATTCTTGAATTTCGGATGCAATTTATCTACGGTACAGGCAATAAAATGTCATGCATCATTTTTTGTAATATTTTAGATTGAAAATTTTATTTTTCTGTAGCAAAAAACTATTTCATGTTTTAATGACTAATTTACAATTATATTTATTTTTTTAAAAGATTTAACAATAGAGGAAACTTCTGCAGCAGTAGCTCCTGAATCTCCAATTCAAGTGAAAAAAACAAGTATGCTCTCTTTTTTTTTTTTTTTTTTTTTTTTTTTTTTTTTTTTTTTTTTTTTTTTTTTTTTTTNTTTTTTTTGTATATATTTCTTGAGAATTAGCTTAGGAATAAAAATTATCTTTTTATTCATTGTATGCATTTTGCGATTTATGTGTTTCATGAATATAAATTTAACTAGTTAGTTTCAAATATCAGTCTTTTCTTTAGTGCCACTGATTATTGTTAAGTGCTTAGATATTCCTTCTTTAAAAAGTGTAACTTTCTAAAACACTAGTAAATTGTGTTTATAATGTTTTTAAAAGATAAAATTATAATTCTGTGCTAAAAGTTAAAGTATCAGGGCCATTTTTTCCAGATTGCTGGCAGTTTTTTTTTCACTACTTAGAAAAAACTTTCTTGTGTTAGAGTTCATAACTTAATTAGAACCAATTTATATATATTTAAATTAATATATTTAAGTTTAATTCATCGAACCATTAAGATTGGCACTTAATGCATGAAAATATGATAATTGAAACAAAAGTTATTCAGAATATCTCTTTTGCTCACTGTACATGTTTTTTTATTATTTTTTTTCTTTCAAATATCCATTTTACTTTAAAATTTTGCTAAAAATGTAAGTTTTTTAAAAGCAGGCTTAGTTATTAATATTTTGTTATTTTGAAAAGATTTAGAAACCACCAAAGTTGTCAGTGGACCAGCATCTAAATCTCCTTTCTCTAAAATAGGTAAGAATGATTTCACTTTTCGTATTTTTCAAAACATTTTTAATTTTAAAATAATTTAAAAAATATGTAAATTTATTTGTCATGCTTGACGTTATTTTTCATGATATTTTATATTTCCTAGTCCCATTTTTATTTCGCAATTTTTTGTATTATTTTTTTTGGGTTAATGATCTATATGCGTAACAGTTTAATGTAACTTCGGAGAAAGGCTGAGTTTGCTTTTTCCCGTTGATTGCAACATTACCTGAAATGCATTAAAAAATGCTAATTTTAAATTACTCATGAAATGAAAAGAGTTTATTGCTCTGCAACTACTCATTGATTAAAGTTCCAAATATTTGATCTCTGAATTACAGAATAATCCAGTAAGGAGTCTTTTTTTTTATGTGAATACAATTGTGATCCTTTTCTTTCATTCAAACAGCAGCCAATAAAAAACAGGTGATTAAAAATCGACATATTTAAAGGAAAGAACAACACATTTCTTATCACTGGCAATTTTCATTTTGGATATTTGATTCTTTTTATAATATATATATAAACAATTACGATAGAAAATTATTTTTCCTTGCCAATTCTGCAAAATATTTACAAAAAAAGTGCTTGAGCATAAATAGTAAGTGCCAATTATCCACGTCAAATTGTCAATTTATTTAGTCATTGACAAACAAATATAAATGTATCTGTGCAGTGTTTAAATTTTAATTTATTATTTATATTTGAGATGAAATTATACTTGATATAAATTCAATTCTTTTTCAAAGAAAAAAGGAATAAAATTACGTTCTTTTTACGTGTTGACAAGTCCAATATATTTTTTTTATAAAAGAGAAATGTCTATTTATGTTTGTATTGCTGAGTGATTTGGAAGTGTATTGCTTAAATAAGAGTAACATGTTTCAATATCAGCTGATTAGATTCATGTCGAGCAACAATCCAAAAAGAATTGCGAAAGCTGTTCCAGGAGTTAGCAAGACAAGCCTAGATGGGGAAGGGGCATATATAAACTGATTACAATAAATTAATTTTTACACTGTTTAATGTACAGTAAACTGTTACAAAAAATTAATTTTTGCACATTTGTTTAGGAGATAGTGAACTAAGAAGTGATACAGTGAATAAAAGCAGTATTATAGTGATGTGTTACAATGCATTATGCAATGCAATGCATCTGCATTGAACTTATCAAAATTTCAAAGTTTTATTGGTGCTCAATGCAACACATAGTTTCAACTGTTGTTGTATTTTACATAAAATGAGATAAAATTGGTCAAGTATTTTTTAGGATAAGCTAATATTAGTGGTATTTTCGTGCACTAATACAACTTTACATTATGTCTGTTTTCATGCAAAATTGAATTAGTGTTATTATATCCAATAATATCAAGCTTTGATATCAGCAAATAGATTTTATATGTCTAATTTTTATTTTAAAATTTTTATAACTCAGTAATTTATTTTTTAGTTGTATTTCTAAATAGTGACTATTTTTATTTTTTTTTAAGGACCTGGGAAAAAATTTCAACTTCCAATTCAAGTGAGCAAAACAGGTTAGTGTCAATCATGTTTTATGGAAGTAAAGTAATTTCAAACATAATTTTATTGATTATTGAAAACACAGTATTTGCTCTATAGTGTCATCTTCAATTACAGTGACCTTTCCATTAGTAGGACCGATGCATAAAATCCCTTCCACTATTTCGTAGACATGAATGTTATTTTAATGCCAATTAGAACTCCCACACCAAGCCTTTCATTCCAATAAAGCAATTAAAATTGAATCATTAGATTTAAACATGGTGCGCAGCGTTTCTAAGAAGTGCTTAAAGGTGATTATTTTTGATTTTTAAAAGCCTTTAAAGGTGCTTTTCTTATTGGGTGTTTTTAAAACGCGCTTAATTTTCCCTTTCCGAAAATGAGATATTTTTCTTTAATATGTCAATTTTTGCCAGGTATTATGCAAAAGTGTGGTTTTCACATTGTTTTATTCAATGTTTTCACAATTCATTCAAATAATACATTTCGGTGTGCCGCCGGTCCGTAGCAAATGAAAGCTCCAATGAATTTACATGTTTGACGAAATACTTGCAGGTCCGTATGTGTGTCTACTGAGCTGGGTTCAGTGAAATTCTTGCACTCTGATGTGCAACTCTGCTGCATTTTGCAAGATATTCTCAATTTCTGGCTTTATTTTCCACCCTCTGAAATCGAATTGTAAAATCTCTTGATATTTTTATGGTGGCTAATATAATAAAGAAAAGAGTTCTTTATTAAGTAGTTATCTTAACTAGTTATTTTATCATAATCATGTAATGTCTTTGAAGAATTTTCTGCATTTTGTTAATGTATATAGTGCTTAAAAATATTATTTTAGTACATACTTAAAAGGTACTTATTTTTTGTTGAAAGATTTAGCTATGCACCCTGTTAAAAAATATTTCAGAGAAATTATTTAATGCATTATTTACTGTGTCATCTCATAATAAATATAAAACATCTTGAATCCTCTTTAAATGAAGTAAAGATCTCATCATAGATGATCATACATTATGGTTATTCATAATCTGTGTAACTTTCTTTTCAAATGCGAGAAATTTATCAATCATACTTTTCTTGTTTAAAAATTTTATTCATTCTTTTTGCAAAATGTCACTTCTCTTGTCTAGTTTTTTTTCCCTAATTGTCTTTGCAGTTTTCTTGATGTATATTATTTATGAAAAATAGTAAACCTGATCCAAAATATTATTTTTTAGCATTTTCTCTTATAAAATATTATTTTTAATGGTACTTATTAATTTTTTGTTTAGTTCGGTAGTTATTAATATTTGTGTTGTTACCAATTTTTCTGTTAGTTACCAATTTATATTAAAGCCTTGCTTTGTTAAAATTGGTCATGTATTTTTTTAGGACAAGTAATTATTAACAGTATTTTAATGCACTCTTGATACAACGACCTCACATTATGGCATCTGTTTTTGCTCAACCTACAAGGATCTTTATATCGAGTGCCGACCACTATATTTTTATCTTTCATAATTCATAACAGTGCAACTCTTATATTAATTCAGCTGATTTCCAAAATCTTCTTTAAAAAAATACAGGTTCCATTATCCTGAAATTGTCTCTTGACCTTTTCTTTCACTTTTGTTTGTTTCTTTGTTTCCCCTCATATTGTTTTCTTTTAAATAATGTACATTTTAATTATCGTAGCCTGTTATTAAATTAAACAGTAAATACACTGCCAATGCATTATGCTGCAGCACTGAGCTTGCCGAAATTTTTAAAATTTTATTGATCCTCAGTGCAACACATAGTTTAACTGTTATGTTTTATCTAAAAATACGATAAGTTTGTTTTTAAGTTGAATTCCTAGATTTCAAGTATCAATTTTTGGGTATACTTTTTTGCATTGTATGGAGAAATAAAATTTTAATAAAAGTATTGAATTAGTTTTAATAGTAAGTAAAATTTTAAATAAAATCTTTGTGTTATTTTTTATATTATGTGATTATTTTAGCAAACAAATGTTCTTTTTATTTTAGCTGTGAGTCCAGTGAGAAAACCGATAAAAAGCAATCCACCTACAGTAAGTTTTCAGTTTGTAGAAGTTATTAGAATTTAAAAAATGCTTTCATGTGATTTACTGTTAAAATGAATTATTTTATTAATATTTTTAAGGCTTTAGTAATTTTCATGCTATTTAACCCTTAATAGTCTGGACGTATATTTCAAGTTTACTTTCCATCGGGCATAATTATAACATTAATAACATTCATATATTTAATTACTATTAAATTAAGAGCAAATCGGAAAGTCTGAAATAAGTCCGATCAAAATAATAAAGTGGCTTTAGTCATCAAATGAGCGGTATTGGTTTTAGCTATCATTAACATGGTGTGTGCTGCTTTTAAAAAGGGCTTAAAGGTGCTTATTTTCAATTTCTGTATTTTAAAACTCCATAAAGGTGCTTTTTTCATTGGGTGTTTGTAAAAAGTGCTTAATTTTCCCATTTTCAAAAATGAGATTTTTTCTTTACCATGTCAATTTTCACCGTGTATTATGCAAAAGCAGGCTTTTCAAATTGTTCTATTCAACGTTTTCGCAATTCTTTCAACCGCAATCTATTTCAGCGTGCCGTCGGTCCATAGCGTATGAAATCGCCATTCATTTTACAGGTTTGATGAAATACTTGTGAATTCGCATGTGCGTATAGTGAGCTGGGTTCGGTGAGATTATTGCCCGCACCTGTGCAACTCTGCTGCATTTTGCAAGATATTCTCAATTTCAAGCTTCATTTTCCACCCTCTGAAATCGAACTGAAAATTTTTTTCATCATTTTTTAATGACTAATATAGTCACGAAAAGAGTTCTTCGCCAGAAACTAGTTATTTTATCATGATCATCTAAAGTCTTTGAAAATTATTTTGCATTTTGTTAATGTACGTTGTGCATTGAAATATTTTTTGAGTACTTATTTTTTGTTGAAGGATTTGACTATGCACTCTGATTAAGTAAAAGTACTATGCTGCTTATGCAATGTTCATTCAATTATTCTGTTCACATTAAACTAACTTTATTTAAATATTTATGGTTTTTCATAACCATTATTTAATGGCTCATTAAGGTTTTTATTTTAAGAATATTTGAAATTTAAACTTTTTTAATAATTTCACATTTTCTAAAAATGCTAAATTAGCAGTTTTAAACAATACTAAAAAATATTGGTTATTGCTTATATATATGTATACTTTTAACTTTTATCGTACTTTTAACTTTTTTATGTGCTTTTATAAGCTATTTGCTTTTATTGTAAGTAGTTACAGTATTTTTTTTTTATTTAAACAGAGTAACCTTCTATCTTTCTTTTTAGCTAATAAAAATGATCATGAAATTTACAGTCTAGTTAAATTGATCAGTTGAAAATATGCTATTTTTGAAATATCTTTTACATTATGAAGTTTCTCGTTCAAGCTAATTTTTGAGAGACTTTAATTGTCAATAAATATTACATGATTGAATTTGCCTTTCAGTCTGCTTTTGATAATATTTTTTCCTTACTAACTTTAGTGCAGTTGAAAAAGAGATTTAGTATGATATAAATAATTTAGCAATATCTGTGTGTAAAAATTAAGTTTCTTGGCCAATATATTTTTTTCCATATCCAAATATCTTTATTGAAGTAAAGAAAAGGTTAATTTTGTGCTGTACATAAATAAACCTAAATATAAAAAGCAAACAAATAATGACCCATAAATAGACACATGATCGTTTAGTTTTATGATGAAGAACATTCTTCATTATCGAAGCACTAACAGAGAGAGTTAGAAGAAACTACAAAAAGTTAAAACAAAGAAAAGATAATAAAAGAATAATGATTTAATAGGAAGATAGTAAAAGAATATTGTGAGGTAGAGGTGGTTTGCAGGAAGAGAAACAGTGATGTTACGATATATTTAAATTAGAACTAATTATGGGAAGAAGAAAATTTTTCAAGTAGATGAAAACTATATTTTTAAAATTAAAATAATTATTAAGAAGTACCATTAGAAGATAGGAAGAAATCATGTTTCATTGATTAAGATATTATTGATTACATAGGACTGATTATAAATTCTAGTGAGTTGCAAATATTATTTATTTATTGGCATTTAGCTTCAAAGCTTTTTATCTTTAAACAATGATGTATTTCATATGAATGACAAAGTGAACATGGGAATTTTTTTTCTTTCCTGCAAAATAAATGAATTTTTCAATTTTTTTTAAATTGTTGATATTTTAAATTTGAATGTTTTAGAAATTCATGTGTTATTTTCTTTTTCTGGCTTCTTTTCTATTTCGATAACTTTGTTTATCTGCTTTTAGATCTAAAAATAGTTTGAAATGTTTCTTTCCAGTTATGACATTATTCTTATTTAAGTACCTATGTATGTTGTTTTTTAGGATAATGAACTTTATTCAAGCATTAAGAGGATAATTTTTAATTCTGATCCTGAGCAGATCACTCTTGGGAATGTTATTGAGAAAGTAAGTCCTTATTAAGTAATTCTGTTATTTATTTCCATTTTTTGTAAATATTTATTTAAATTTTTTAATGAAAATTTAATAAACAGATTTTAATTCAGAAGACAATAAATGTTTTGGGGCATTCTTTTATGTTGTAAAAATCTAAGAAAATCCCTTTTTTTTAAATTTATACCGTTTTATTTGTTTATTTATGTGATGAAAATTAACTAAGATATATTGGGAATAAGAAAATGTAAGAGTAAATTTTTTAAGTTAAAATAAAATATTCTAAGTTTAAAAGTAAAAATAAAGTATCTTTCATTTCTTATAACGTCAGTAAGCGGGTCAGGGACCACTTTGATCAGCCTGCATAGGGACCAAGGTGCATGGTATTGGTTCTCGTTGAACTGTTCTACCGTAAAGTGATCAACTTCGCACGCAGGTCGTCAGGATACCAAAACAGGGGAGCCATCCCCTCTGCAAAGGATCAAAATTGCGATGGCATGTCTTCGGATCATCCTCAGGGATGTTACCCAGACCGTTGCCAATAGCCCATTGTGCAGCACTAGTGTGATGTGAATAGAAATACCTACTTACCATGCCATTTCTTATAAATATAAAAAATATGATTAATCACTCTTACTGTTTTTAAATTCAGAGCAGAACAGTACAGGCTATAAAGAAAAATTATTAAAATGTAAGATGATTAATTTAATATCAGAAAAAAATGTAATCATTGCAACCAAAAACTCTTTACATAAAGTTCAAAGAACATGAAACTGAAATTGATACAGAATTAGATGTTATCTCATTTGTATTGATGTACTAATGGTCCTGGGGAAAAAAAGAAAAATAGTGATTAAAAAATTATTCAAGTAGTTTTGAAGTTTTAACATACTTTCTTAACATATCTCCTACAAAACTCCCACAACCCTATCTGTCAAGACTTATAGTGTATTATACTTTCCAACAAATTTGCAAAATTTCAAAACTACTCATTTTTATTGTCTATTATTCCTTTGTTACCTAAACTATAATCGTAAAATGTGTCCAAAAAAGATATTAAATTAAAAAAAAAATTTCTCTTTACAGTTGATACAAGTTATCTCAAATAATCTAAATACAGCAACTGATACTAATAATTCATGAACTTTTGCAGAATTAATTTGTTTATTTGTTACCCAATTTAGAGTATTAAATAAAGAATTTTAGTATATTGAAGTTCCAGAGTGTCAAGAACTGGTTATCAATTTCTTGGAGAGGTGCAGATTGGGGCCCAAACCCACAAAGAGCTGTCACGAAAATGGTGACGATGATTAGTTTATTAAAGAAAAAAAAATATTGGAAGCAGAGTTTTGAAAACTTAAATTATTTAAAGCTTTCATATTATCATAATTTTTTTTAGTTTTTAGTGCTTAATTTGATAGTATTAAAATTTATAGTAATTAAATGCTCAGATACAAACTTCATCTCTACTGTGACTGCAATATTTCCAAACTACTGAATTCTTCTACTGAAATTAAAGAATAACACTGTGACTTTTTCTACCGAATTAAAGATCTTCATCTAACTTATTTCCAGCCTTTGGGGGTACTTGCTAATTATTCTCTAAAAATGGTTTTAATTTTAAATTTTCAGTAGAGAATTGAAATTCAGTGGAATTGTTAATATTAAACTCAATCTTGCTCATGTTATAATGTCTTTCAACAGGTATCTGTACAGTATGCAAGCCACAATTTAAAATCAAGGACTCGTTTTATGAAAGATTGTGTAAAGAAGGTAATTTATTATTTATTTTTCTACTATTACTTATATGTACATTTCATGCTTGCTTTTTCTCTCACTTTTGTATGAAAGTCACTACTCTTGTCAAACAGATTTTTCACATCTTTTCCCCATTTTTTAAACTTAAGTTTGTTTTTTTTTAAATTTTTTAAATAACTTGCTTAATTTTTCAATGTTTACTTCTAAAATTACGCAACTACTAAAAAATAAAATATGCCTAAGTTAACGACTTGAATTAATTATTTCTCTGCAACTTTGTACATTTGACCCAACCCAAACCTAGCAACCTTTGCAGATGTGTTTCTATCGACATTTGATACATTTGGCTGCCCTCCAATGAGCGATCTGCCTTATCAGTAGTTTATCTCACCTGTTAGACTATTCGTATTTCTAGGGATTTCCAGGCATCAAACATTTGCATAAAGGATATACTTGTGCTTTTTGCAATACACACATCTGCAATTTTTTTAAAAATTGTATATTTCAGGATTTGTAGTAGTCCTAATATTTCTTATTTTCCTGATAGAAAACATTTTGTCCTTATTTTTAGCTTTTTGTCCTGGTTTTTCTGATTTTTGTGAGTGTTCAAAACATCTCAATTTTTAATAATGCTGATTTGGATTTTAAATGTAAAAACATACATCTTTTTGTTTTAATTTTCTAATAAAAATTGCAAAATTCAAAACATCTCAGTGTTCAAAACATCTCAATTTTTAATAATGCTGATTTGGATTTTAAATGTAAAAACATATATCTTTTTGTTTTAATTTTCTAATAAAAATTGCAAAATTCGATTGTTTACTGTTACAAGTGTCGCTTTCATTTTTATAACTAAGTGCTTATATTATTATTGGGATATTGATATTTTTATCCTTCGTTAGATTTTTTTTTATGTCAAATAGAATTTATTGCCACAAAATAATTTCTAGATTTTTAATGTTTCTCTAGTTTAGCAGCTTAGCATGCTTAACATTTTTTTAGTCTCTGAAACTAAATATACTAGACTCTAAATATTTGCTTATCTTAGAAACTCATTACACTACTAGACTTTGTTATGTGTAGATTTCAGGTACACAAACCATTATTTAAACATGTCACACTGAGAAACTATTTGTTTAAATCTGTATGAAATGGAAGATTCAAATAATGGTTTAGTCTAAGCAGATCAATCCTAAGCCTACAGTAATGTGAAGAGAAAAGTTTTCCAATTGTTATTTTCCCATTATTTCAGAAAGTTCAAGCAAAATGAATTCCTGAGTTAAAACCTTTTATATCTTGGTGACTCTAAAATCTCTACAAAGAATATAATTTATTATCTATTTATACCTAATTTTTTCCTCGCAGAATACAAAAATATTTCAAATCAATAACTTTTTTAATCTTGCAAATTAAAAAAGTTATTGATTTGAAATATTTTTGTGTTTATATACAAATCAGTAGTGACCAATAATTTAAGATTTTATAAATTTTTGATACAGCACTGAAAGTTTATAGATTTCTGAAACTATCACAGTTATTTTGTTGCTATCTTTCGATTGAAAATAAATATATTATTTAAAAGGTTTGAGTTTGAACAAAACTCAACATCCTTTATTTTGTTATCTTCATCTCTATCTGAAAGTTGAAGAAATTATTGTATGCAACTCAATGCTAAAATGACATCTTTACACTGGCCCAAATATCCATCCTTGTTCTAAAACAGGAAATTGGCTTACTTCATCATATGAGTGGGCCACTGGGTTATCTTAATTTTGACACTAAATCCCGAGTCACTGATGCACCTATTCATTTTTCATATTGTTCTTTGCATATTCAATATTTATAAAACTTATTTTCACAGTATTTAAAAGTTGGAATAGTTTTAGATAATTTAATGTAGTATTAATCTTTTAACTTTTACGAACTATATAACTAATACTAGTTAATTATTAAGTAGCGAAGAAAAACTAAGTTCTTCAAGATAAAAATTTATTTATTTCCTTTCTTTATTTTATAATATATCTTTTCTTAAAAGTCAGTTCATTGGTTTAATTTTCTCTATTTCAAAGCTAAATGGTTAATCATCAAGTCACCAGATATTGTTTTTTCAATGAAGTGTGATTAACAATTTAACTTTGTTTGTATTTAATTTGATGTGAATTTGTGGCTGAACTTATATTAGTTTAATTTCATTTTAGATTATACTTGGAACTACTTGAAAAAGAAATTGTATGTAAAACTGTGGTTTCATTACAATGCATCATTCATTTGGCATCATTCAGGAACTCATTCATCATTGTGTAAAGAATTCATATGGATTGTTTATCAAACTTATTTCTATGTATGTTCCCAGTGCATCATATGCAATTTTAAATCATTTTTATGATCCATGTTTCTTAGTTTTTAAAATGTAAATGTTGGGAATTGTCTTTTGTGTTATATTGTAAATAAAAAAGAAAAGAAAGGTGTGTAAAAAAGTTTATTAAAGTGTGTTCTATTAATAATTATTTATTTTCTTTCTTCTATATTTAGTTTTTATAACTCCTAAAACTTATTAGTTTCTTAAAACTACCCCATAATAGAAATTAATTACTATGTTCCTGTCAAGTGATTTAATAATCAAATTAAACAATTTTTCCTACTCACAAAAACTTTTAAAAGCATAGATTTTTTTTTTTTAATTTTGTAATTTAATTTTTGAAAATAACCTTCAACTATATGAAATTTTTGTCATGTTTGAAATATTTATTATTGGCATTTTTTGCATGCTTTAAATAAATAAAAAATTAACTAACTTCAAATAATTTACATCTAATGCTCAAATTCCTGCATATCCATAGTTATATACAATCTTTAGAAATATATTTTGTAACTATGATGAACTATTTATAGTGCGATTGTGAATGGAACTTAATATTGAAATAAAGTAGATTACTTTGCTGACTCCTTCATATGGTTTTACATCTCAAAATCTCCTTTTTTATATTTTAAAATATATCATTACGGTAGTTAACCATCTGATAGTACTGCTTTTAAAAAATATATATTTCGCCTGCATGTTTTTTTTTTAATTTGCTAAGTTTCTCCTATAATGTTTAATAGGAAAATGATGCATACCTGGGAAATGTTCTCAAAAATTTTCTCATTTTTGAAAATGCCAGAAGGTTAACCTTCCGAGTATCTGCCCTGCTTTTCCCCGTAGCTGCAGGTAATCTGCACTAGAAAAAATGACTATACATATGATGTTCAATGGAAAAGTAAGTCTGCAGCTGGGAAATGTTCTTAAAAATGTCCCTATTATTTTTGAAAATGCCAAAATCTGAGTATTTGGCTGTTATTTTTACATTGCATTTCTTCCTTTTTTTGCATAAAAATATTTTTTATGTTATTCAATAGCAAAGTAGTGCATAGCAGGGGAATGTCAGTATAATTTTGTCTCGGTCTCCATGCTTGTAAGGTTAATATGTTTATGGCCAGTCATATTTGAAATATAATGTACCTTAATTGAATTACTAACATAAATAAATATTAAATTTAATAATGCATGTGTATTGCTTGTTTCCTTTCTTTTTTAAACTCTTATTTTCTGTTAAAACATTAATTTATGTTATAAAAATAATATTTAATAAAGTAAAAGAATGAGTGCCGAAAATTTACACTAAAAGCAAAATAAAGTTAAGAAAAAATTGATTAAATCATTCTCATTGATCAAAATTTTGTAAAAGGCTCAGAATTTTTGGATCAATTAAATTTGTCGACTTTTGTTTTAAACAGTGAAGTAAGTAAATGCTTGTCACTTCTGGAATATTTGTTTCAATATCTATTGAAAAGCACAGAACATTTTACTGTTGAAATAACTGTTAATGTTGTGTTTAATAACTTTTATCTGGACAAGTTTAATATAATATATTATATATTGTATAAATTTACACTAAAAGCAAAATAAAGTTAAGAAAAAATTGATTAAATCATTCTCATTGATCAAAATTTTGTAAAAGGCTCAGAATTTTTGGATCAATTAAATTTGTCGACTTTTGTTTTAAACAGTGAAGTAAGTAAATGTTTGTCACTTCTGGAATATTTGTTTCAATATCTATTGAAAAGCACAGAACATTTTACTGTTGAAATAACTGTTAATGTTGTGTTTAATAACTTTTATCTGGACAAGTTTAATATATTATATTTTGAGGTAAAAGTTCACTGACAGAGCATAGTTTTTATAAAATTTAATGGAATGTTGCAAATCAAATCTAGACATCTTGTTTTTCCTGTCTTTTACTTTGTTGATCGTGCTTATCAAGTAAGTGAAGTTAATTACTTAATAAATCAAGAAAAAAGTGCGCTTTCATGAAAAATGTGATACTATTTCTTTTTGAAAAACATTCAAATATAAAAATTATCAATATTGTTCCATAAAGTTATTAAAATATTCCTACTTTCAGCCATTAACTATAGTTTTTTTTTTTCGTGTAGTTGCAAGGTTTCATATAAAAATTGATTTCCACTATTATATGCAGTTAAAATGGGGTATGCAAATTTTCACATTATAGTTTAAAATGAATATTTCTTTGTATAATGGGTTAATAAAAAATAATTTAATATTTTAAACTATCCACAATAAATATAATCATATCATTTTGTACCTATTTAACAAGCCTACTTAGCTTTAGTCCCAGATTTTCTGAACTTAACTAGTTGCCCTCAAAATGAGTCTCACCCTATCTTATTCTATGGAGAAGTAGTAGAAAAAAGATATGAAAATTTAATCCCAGCAACGAATGTATATGGAGATTCAAAATTGTAAATATTTGCATTTCTTAATGTTTTGTTTCATCAACATTCTATATCATTATTACTTCATATCATACATTTTAACCTTTTCATTTAATGTTATTTATGTATATTTAACTGTATATACTAATAAAAAGTTTTCTACAATCTTATTGACTAATATTTTTGATTGAAATTATTTTTTATGATTGCGTGAAAAGACAAGTTTTTATATTATGTCAGTTTTTGAATAATATTTCATTCAAACACTGTGCAAAGAATTGACACAGTAATTTTACCCTCTTCAGAAAATTTTTATACTATCGATATTCAAAATACTTATTGAATTCTTCTATAAAAACTAACTCAAGCCACTAATCTAAAACAATTATTTTTTACTGCAAAGTAAAAGGAACTTAGAAGTGACCGTATAAATTGCAATGACTTTTCACTATAAACTTAAAAGGGATTCCCAAACTTCTTACAAAAAAATAATTTAACTAAAGCTAATAACTCGTATTTGTGAAAACCCATTTTTGATGTCAATATGTTAAAAAAAAATTTTGTGTTTGAAACTTAATCTTAATTTTTTTAATGACAAAAAAAGTATTTAGAAGAATTTTTAATTATGTATCTTTCTGTGAATAATTAACCGCTTCAATCACTTAAATGAAAATTGTGTAATGAAACTGAAAGCTATATGGATATATCATGTGAGAGCATTCTTTTCTTTTGTGTGTGATTATTCTGTCTGTTTCTGATTAGAGTTGATTACATAGTGGTCGTCAAATAAATTAAATAGTTGAAAACATTTTGAGTGACATTCTGAAAATATTCAAATTTATCTACCAAGTTTAGAAATAAAACTTTTTAAAGAAATTGCATTTTTTTGGAGGCTATTCGACAATTTAATAGCATAGATTTTTTTATTTACTACTTTGGAATATGGTGTATTGTAATCAATTTAAATATTATTTACGTTTAGGCAAAATCTATGAAACGAACATCAAAGATTCGTTGATGTTTACAACTTCTAAAACTTTTTTTTCCGATCATTTCTGCTCTCGGTCTCATGACAACTTTTAGAACTGTTAATGCAATCCTTTTCAGATATTTTTGTTATCTGCACTCGCTTTGCTATTTAAACAACTTCTTTACCACATCACGTCGTGTTCTCATGTGTTACAAAAATACAATAATTATAACCAAATAAACATAAAAATTGATATTACAATTTGTAAAAACCAATAAATATCGTATCTAATCACAAAGTAATGATTCAAATATTATTGAAATTAAGGCAAAGACAGTTTTCTTACAATTGCTCTTCAAGTGTCATAATTAGATTGACAATATCCCCCTATCTAATATATTGTTGCTGGAAACACTGCATTTAAACAGATAAGTTAATTGAAAATAAAGCGCCTTGGCAGAAATTAAAAGTATCCTGATACATTAGTCTAAATAAAATTAATATCGAGCCCCTAATTAAATAATTCAAAATTTTTTTTAATGAAATGAAAATATTTGTTTATAATTACTTCCCAAAATACGTATTTTTTTTAACATTTCGGGATTATATTTATATTGAAAAACAAGACAAAACTTCAAAATTAATAGCTTTGAAACTTATTAAAAAAGTCATGAAAATAAATGGTTGCAAAAAATTAATTTTTCTGTGATTAAATTTTCATCAAAAAAAACCACCAAATTAAACAAAAAAAAGTCTTGGTTATTTTCAGACATACTACTTAGCGGCAAAAAAATAATAATTCTCCAGTTTTCGTTAAACTGAATTACAAAACAAAAACAAAAGAAGAAAAAAAAATCTTTCAGTTTGAAGTAATCTTGATCTCAAAAACTGATCAGCAAGGAATAAGTAAAAAAAATGTTTTTGTCGATATTTAAGAATTTTTTATTGGGAAATTTAATGTTGAGCATTAAGTCTTTTCTTTTCTTTTTTTTTTGCTTACATTTGTGTGAAATCTTATTTGCTTTTAGAGACCGAATGCGATTTTTTTTTCTTGCATATTGCGATTTTTTTCGCATCAGATATTTGAAAATTTTATTGGTCAAATATACTTTCTCTCAAAAATCTAACCAATCTTTCTCTCAAAAATCTAACCAATTTCTCCGTTTCCCTCTACAGTGATCGGAAGTGCGTAAACCGCATTCAGTGTAATTGGCCCTATATGACGAATTCTATCCCCTAGCGCCACCTGTTTCTTGTTACCTTGCTGTTCGATAGAGAGCGCTCGTTTCCGTTCCTTTGATCTTTCATGACGTCAAGTTCTAACGGAAATGATGAAGTTTTCATCATTATCAGATGATCAATCCTGTTATCCTTTAGTTGGGTGGTTGATTGTTGTTGGTGTCGCAAGTAGTGAATGGGTTGTGGTCATTGAATATGGTTGACAGTTGAAGAGCGACATGATTTCATGTCCCTCACCAATAAACTATGGATTTTATTTTATCTTGATATATTCTTTTTTAAATTAATTTGAAAAATGGATCGAAGCTAAATCTTAAAAAAAGAATCTTTATCCATAATCTCGATAAGAAAAAATTCATAAAAAATGGGCAACTGTTTCAGTCGCACGGCTAGCAAAAATGTCAAGAAAGAAGTAAGTGGACAGCCTCCTGTTGAGAGAAATATTCTGGACAACTGTCCATCTTCCTTGACATCTTTGGGTGTGCAAACTCATGAACCCTCAGTGACCAATTTGAGATATGCCTCAGATCCCACTTGTAGAAACGGACCCAGTTTACCACCAGTACCATCAGACTCTGATAGTTCATCGGGCGCAGGTGCCAAAATCTTTGTTGCCCTTTATGATTATGATGCTAGAACAGATGAGGATTTGAGCTTTAAAAAAGGTGAACATTTGGAAATTTTAAATGATACTCAAGGTGATTGGTGGTTCGCTCGTTCAAAATCTACCAAACAAGAAGGATATATTCCATCTAATTATGTGGCGAAACTTAAATCAATTGAAGCTGAACCGTAAGTATATTATTTACTAAATTTAAAAAAAAAAACTTTTTACGTTTTATCTATGTTTAGTACCTTTGAAACAAATACAGTCAAACCTCGATATCTCGAACTTGAAGGGAGAGAAGAAAAAATTCGAATTATCGAAAATCGCATGTTATCGATGGTAGAATAAAGAAAAATGCTCTTTACCTTATTTACTATTCCATGTTTATTCTAAAAACACTTTTTACACTTTCATTTTAAAAAAGATTCAAATTTTGTCTGTAACACTTTCTAAGTGGATTATAGCTTTAAATGTCTCCTCTGACATATTAGACTGCCTCTCAATAAATCTCCTTACAGTGTCCACTGCAGAAAGTGCTTGTTTGTTAGTAACATTGACTGATAAATCTTTGATTTCCTCATCCTCTTCTTCTGATAGCTCACAAGAAGCTTTCGTTTGGGCGATGATATCATTGTCATCCCACTGACTGCATCATCTACGTTTACAAAGTCATGAAATTCCATGTCATCAAGCTTCATGAGTTCGGTCAATCTGTCCCAATCATTTTCGGTGTAGTTTTCAGCAGAATTAATGATATTGATTGTTTGACTACTTTTGTGATCTTTAATGAATCCAGACTTCTTGAAGCCATTCATTATCATAGAGGAAGACACATCATTCCATGCCTTGTCAGTCATTCTTAAAATTTTTAATTTTTTTGCAATATTTTTTTAATTTTAGAAAAAAAATGTACACTATTTATGGAAAAAAAATTCAAGTTATCGAGAGATTAGAAAAAAAAAAAAATTGTGAAATCAAGTTTTTTTAACATTGAGTGTATAGGAAATTTGAAGGGAATTTTTTATCTCTTCGAGATATTGAAAAATTCGTGAAATCGAGGTTTGAGTTGGCGAGGTTCGACTGTATTTTAATAGTCAATGTTTATCTGTTTCCTTCACTGTGTAGTATATAATGTAGTTTATCTAAAAGATATCTAAACCCTTTTAAAATGTAACTTTTTTACTACACACAGCACTACACCTAACTGTGATTTCCTGTAAAGGAATAGTAGTTGAGTAATTATTTAGTTTATGTAGGCTTTTCTTTCTATGCTTCTTCACTAAAAATGATGTTTGTTTGAATTAATTGGGTAGAATTTGTGTTGAAGTACATTAAATATGTTCTTTGATAATCACTACTTTATTTAAACCATGAACTGTTTAGTCCGCTGCTGGACATTCTAAAAGCCATATAAAATTATATAAACCTTAGCCCCACATCAGAGGGGGCCCCAAATCGAATTATGTTATGTTAGCTTCTTCATTAATCTATCGTATGAACACAAAAAATCTATATTTCCTAAATCCTTGACTTTCTAATGCAGAACTCAGCTAAATTTTCACAACAAATGTACGTTGGACAAATTTGGCCAGGTAAAAGCCTGTATTTTTACCTATCACAAAATGCTATATGTTTACAAAAATGCAGGCTTCCGATTGGCTTAGTTGAGACTTCCGAGTTGCAAAAATTTAGCTGAATTCTGTCCTAATGTCAGCAAGGATATGAATTTTTCGCAGATAGATGACTGACAAAGTTAGCAATCAGAAAACTGCATTTGCCATGATGGGCATAGAATTGTCAGAGAGTCAATAAAGTGAACAGAACGATATTTCGTCTGACCATTGGAGGGGGACTTAATAGCTATTTTAGGTTCTAGTCAATTTTCTTGTTATATATTAAAAGTGAAAATTTAAATATCTCCATAAAGTTCAGTTCTTCATTACTGAAGTAGTGAAGCAGAGGGGGCCCCCAAAGAAGTTTTTGCCCTGGCCCTGTCGGGCCCCGTGAATGAGTTAAAAAACTTTACATGTAGTTGCTGACTATTTTACGTTATTGAACCATAACCATTTTTGCACTTTTACAACTATATAAAGCAGGGTTGGCAATGTTTAGGACAGAATGGATTAATCCACGGTTTAAACCCTGGTTTAAACCGTCCTGTCCAAAACCCTTGTCCAAAACTGTCTTAAACTGTCCAAAACCCTTTTACTCAAATTATGTCACAATTTTATCTGAACAATATTTAAGAGGTAAAATAAACATAGAACTAATAACATATTGATAATTAAATATACTAGAGAATATTTGTTTTTAAAAGTATAATGTTTTATTAATATTGTTTGACTCTTCAATTTAAACAAAGGAAGATTAATCAGTAATCAAGTTCAATTGGTCCTCTCATTCAATAGTACATAACTGAAGTTTGGCCTTGCCATACAGGTTAAAATATTAGGGACTAAGTGCTTGGTTCGTCATAAACAGGTTTATTTATCTATAGTACTATTCAAGAATACTTTTATTTCATTCATGTTTGATTCTTTTAGCATAGTGGTGATACATCACCAGTGTCAGTAACTGAAACTGATGTTATGCCCTTCAAAACAATTTCAGATTTTTCAGTTATTTTGTGTTTTCAATTTAAACTAATATATTTATATTTCAAAACAATTTTATATTTCAATTTTATATTTATATTTCAACAATTCAAACAATTTTATATTTATATTTCAAAACAATTCAAAACATCTTCAGATTTTTCAGTTATTTTGTGTTTTCAATTTAAACTAATATATTTATATTTCAAAACAATTTTTTTTAAAAATAGATGTCTTTTTTATCATCCTGTAATGCAGAAATTATAAAATTTTTTTAAAAAAAATATTGTGAAAAATAAAAGGTTAATTTTTAAACAAATTTAGTATTTTTTTTAAAAAAAATCATTATTTTTTAATGTTGCATTATTTATCCTTATGCAAAAATATTATTTATCAGTATTAAAAGCATATTCATATTTAAAGGATTAGGTATTCACTTTTGTTGATCAATGAATTATGGGGGTTCAAAAATTATAAACCTTTTCCTATTATATTATATTATTTTCTTTTGATAAGTTAAAGTAAATTGTATAAAAAATATCAAATATTTATTGATACATGTAATTATTATGTGTACAATGGTTACACCTATAGAATTTTTACCTTTTACCAAAGTTCAAGGTTTTGGACAGTTTTACCCAGTTTAGGACAGTTTTACCCAGTTTAAGACAGTAAAACCCACGTGTCCTGTCCAAAACCAGTTAAGGACGTCCAAAACCCCAACCCTGATATAAAGTGTTCACATTGGACCTGGTGAACACTTTTTTTACAGGAGTGTGAAGAAAGTTTAAATAAATTTTGTCTCTTAAGAAAATAGAATTCACTTTTTTGTTTCCTTGGAAAAAAAATTTAATTTTAAATTTTATTAATTAAATAAAAGGGTATGTTAGCTGTTTAGGGACAATTGGGCCCAATGTTTATACTGTAGTTGAATAGAAATAATATTAATTTCTGAAGAATATCACTATGGACTCATCAATATAATGTGAATACTAGAGTTTTAAGTGGATACTGCAGAATTAAGTTACAAATAGCTGAATTTTAAATCCAATTATGCCTCTAATATTTTGTAGAAAGGAAAAAAATCTTAATTTACAACCTGTTAAAAATAAAGAGCAATTTGAATTATTAAAAGAATTACATGGAAGTGTTAAAAAAATTACCAGGCGTATTATTTTATTTTATTTCAAATTAGCATTTAAGTTTTCACTCTGTCTAATTTATATGCATCATCTATTGAATTTGCACAACCCTTTATACCATTAGGTTGAAACTTGCTCCGTTGTAGATATTTTTGTCCGTTTATAAATTTGATCATGAAGACATCTAAAAATTACGTTTTCAGCAAAATGCACTGAAATAAAACAAACTGTCCATAAAACATGGAGATATTGGCAATGGGCTTTGATATTCAAAACTTTTATTTAGTAATAATTAACTTCTATAAAAGACATTTAGAAAACCTTTTTACATAGTTCTTGTCTTAAAACTTCTTTCTAATTACACAAACAATGATGTGAAGAGGAACAAGATTAATCTTACATACTTACATTATAATTAGTAAAGTGTACTGTAGGTACTTACAAGCAAATACTTACTTTCTGGACACTTCTAAGTAGAGTATAATTTTTAAACATGTTATTTCAAAAACTTTAAGATATTGTACCATTTTGTTAATTACAAATGAAAAAAAGTCAAAAAAATTTGTTAAAAATTAGAAAAGAAGAAAAATTTTTTTTTTGTTTTTGTATAGTGCTAACTTTCTTGTGCTAATTTTTTTCTTTTCATAGAGCAGCAAGTTTATTATAAAATTGGTTTGTAATCCTCTTCTTAATAAATCACTAAATTAATAAGTGCTTTAATATCATTTAATACGAGTTAAGTATGTATTTGGCTTTTCGATACAAAAAAAAATGAAATAATTAATTGTAACTTGCACTTAATATTCATAATAATTTCCCTATGTAAGTAAGTATATTATCTTTTCTTAATAATTCTCCAGGAAGTCCTAATGATCCCCTAGAAGTTTTCGACACCTCTTTAGGGCAGAATTACCTAAGTTGTTAACCTATATCCTAACCAGTATGTCATTTGTAGGTAAAATATGTTGGTTAAAATAAAACTAATTATGGTCGGCCTAACATTGGCGTGTATAAAATCAATTTAACGAGGGAGCGATTAAGAGCAAATTCATTGGAAAGGGATATACTGAATTCCTATTTTAAAAAATAACTATTAAATTTCTGTGTATTTAAGCTTATGGCATTGAAAAAAAATAAAAGTTTCTAATAAAAAATGAATGGTAGGGATTATGAAGATTCGGAATAAATTGTGCAATACTTGGTTGACAAATTTTTTAAAAATATTACCTGAAATTTGGAATAAAGAGATTTTTTTAAGAGAGGTCCAATTATCCAATATGTTTCTAGTCTGAAAAACTGCTTTTAATAGATATTAATGTTTTTTAAATGTATTTATTATGTAATATAGCAGCTAATTTCATTTGTCCAGCAGTTTTTGTAAGCTTTTTAAAACTCTTTCTGAAACAAATGTAAAAGATATTAGAAAAACAGGATTGAGTAGAAGCTGTT